CAAGAATGAAGCATTGCAGCCGGGCGCTGGTGGCTCACACCTGTAATCCTAGCTACTCAGGAAGCTGAGATCTGAGGATCGCGGTTCAAAGCCAGCCCGGGCAGGAAAGACCGTGAGACTCCTATTTCCAATAAACCACCAGAAAACCGGAAGTGGCGCCGTAGCTCAAATGGTAGAGTGCTCGCCTTGAGCTGAAGAGCTGAGGGACAGCACCCAGGCCCGGAGTTCAAGCCCCACGACCGACAAAAAAAAAAAAAAAAAATGAATGAAGCATTGCTTTTGGACAATCTTAATTTCTTTAAGTAGGTAAGAACTGCATAAATTGTCTTGAAAATAGAATCATTCCATATTTAGGTCTTTTGGACACTGTAGAGTTTCTGTGGCATATTGGAGATAATGTGAGTTGCTTCTCCTTCCCTTCTCTTTTTACTTCTCCTTATTCTTACTCTCTGGCCCTGTAGGGCCGTGTTTCTTAAAGTATAGTTTAGAGGTTTAAGCCATAAACATGTTTAAGCAACATAAACAACTTGGAATTTAGTTGTTGTTTATGAAGGTTCCTTAGAAATTTAATTTCTGGGGAGGGAGCCTGAAAATTTGCTCAACATGTGATTTATTTCAACCTTTTGGTACCAAGTGTAGAATGAAAAATCGAGAGCTAAAGTGTAGTCCTTGTTTCTAAAACCCACCATTACTTTTTATCCCACACAGGAGTAAGAGCTGTTATCTGAATCAATTGTTTGGAAAACCTTCTGCTGATCTTATGACTTCAAAAAGACAAGTCAATCAAGGAAGGGCGAATCATACCAACTCATGTGAGATCTTATTCTGGAATAACCATACTTATGTCATAAATCATGTTCAAGGAGTGTTAGAAGGCCCTAGGGCAAACCCACACAGACAGAAGCACAAAAGACTGCTTTCATTATTGAATCCACCAGTCTTGCCTTATAGCTCTCACAAAGGGCTGGGGAAAGAAGATAGTATACTCATTCAAGATGCAATGATACAGTAGAATTCTTTCAGAGGACTGTTAAGTTATATATATAGAGAGAGGGGGGGGGGAGGGAGGAGAAAGCCAAATAGATATTTATAAACCTTTCACTCAGTGATACCTTCCTGGGAATTTGTCTTCAGGAAATAATGTACAAGACAAAAAGAAGCTACCAGAACAACAAAATTTCTAGCTGGGAACTCATGGCTCATGCTTATAATCCTAGCTACTGAGGAGGCTGAGATCTCAGGATCACTGTTCAAAGCTAGCCTGGGCAGGAAATCCTGAGAGACTCTTAATCTCCCAATAACCACCAAAAAATCATGAGTAGAGCTCAGGGACAGCCCCAAAGCCTGAATTAAAGCCTCAGAGAGAGAGAGAGAGACAGAGACAGAGACAGAGACAGAGACACAGACACAGACACAGACACAGAGAGACACACAGAGATAGAGAGACAGAGAGACACAGACAGAGACAGAGACACAGACAGACAGATAGATAGACAAACAGAAAGAAAGATCACTTTGTTGTTGTTGTTTCTGTTAGTTGTGGGGCTTGAACTCAGGGCCTGGGTGCTGTCCTTGAGCTTTATCAACTCAAAGCTAGCACTCTACCACTTTGAGCCACAGTGCCACTTCTAGTTTTCTGGTGGTTAATTGAAGTTAAAAGTTTCACAGACTTTCCTGCCCAGTCTGGCTTTGAACCACAATCCTTAGACCTCAGCTTACTGAGTAGCTAGGATTACCCAGGCATGACCCATATATCATAGGTTTTTATGTAACTGCTTTCTCCTTCCAGGATCAACCCAGACTGAAGAACATACCCTGTTATAAGGTTTGATTCTAAGTAAGGAAAAAACAAAACAAAACAAAAACAAAGATGGGTCCTGAACTGTCAAAGCTACAACCATTGAGACTTGAAAAAGTCATACCTACCTACTAATCTTATTGATACAAAGTAGTAACTTGTAGCAAAACTAAGTTTGGGGCTGTTTCTGAAAAGATTTGGTTTACTCTAAAACATTTTTTTTCTTGAAAACATTGTTATTGCACTTGGCAGTGAAGCCCAGATGAACTTTGTTTGAGGTTATAGCAAATTGCCTTTAATTGATTGCTTTTTTCCCCATGGTCTGCACCCTAACAGCCAGGGATGCCACTGATGAAATATTCAGCATCCGATGATACTTGATGTATAATTAAATAGGGTGCTTTTTGCAGTTCAATTTCCTAGACCTTTAATCTTCAAGTTACTAAAGCTTCATGGAGAGAATCTCCTAAGCAAAACCAAAATATTCTTGGAAATACTACCCTAGTTACTGTAGATAGAAAAGAAGATGTATCTTAAACATAATAACTATGCCAGCTAAGGTGGTACACATTAGGTCATTTCATCTTCACAAGTTTGCTATATATGTAGCACTAGTATCCCTACCCCATATGGAAGAAGTAATGAAGGCTCAAAGAGGTTGAATGGTTTGTATAAGATCACTAAATAAGTAAGTACCACAGCCAGGACTGGAACTCAGGTCAAATTCTCTGGGACTCTATTGCACTTCTCTAAAAATTTACAGGGTTTCCATTTCACTTACCATGGCTCACCTAATCCTTCTAATAACCCAGTAACATTGAGCACAATTACAAGAGTTTTCCTTTTATCAGAAATCACAGACTAGGAGTAGACTCAAGGTTTCTCACCATCATCACCACCATCATCACCATCACCATTACTACCACCACCACCACCACCACCACCACCTGATCATCATCATCTCAGTTACCTTTGTTGGGTGCCTTCTATGCATAGGCTCTGTGTGAAGCACTTTTGATTCTTATATTTTCATTCTAATCTCACAATAACTTCTGGGGTGGGCATTCTTTTTCTCCCAGTTGATAGATGGGAAACTCAGACTTAGATACAGAGCTAATCAGGGGCCAAAGATTTGCTCAAGACTGTTGAGTAGTAAGTCAGAACTAGAACAAGATGTGTAATTATAACACAATTGAAAAAAGCATCTGTCATTTATAGTTTTGTCATATAGCAGATTATGCTTTAATAAAAACATTCATTTTGCCCACATTTGAGATTAGTTGATCTAGCTCTTTTAGTCCTCACATTACTGAAGAAAGTACAATTATTCCTAAGACTCATTGAAAATAAGTAAGGTCTTCAAGAGTATACAAACGAAGATTTGAATGCACTTTCTTTGGCTTATTTCCTTAACTATGACACAATGCTGACTCTTGGTATGTCTCCTTACATCCATGCTGCCTAACCTGGGGTCCAGAGGTTAGCAGTATTGGCACCACCATGGAGCTGGTTATAAATGTGAAGTCTCAAGAATCACTACAGATGTTCTGGACAAGATCCTTTGGCCCTTAGGATGTGAGAGGCCTTGTTTGCCTCACTACCAATGATATATGGAATAGACAGAAGGGAGCAATGTTGTCTAAAGCAATCTAGATCTAAACAGGCTCTTTAGGAAAGCTGTGTTGGGCTGGGAAAAGATATACTTTGTAGCCAAATTTAATATTGGCAGTCATCTCGCAAGTTGGAGGAAAAAGTAAGCCAATAAATGGTATTTTATCATTTTTCTTTGCACCATTTTCCTTAAAGTAAGTTTTTTTGTGTGAAAATACTGTACATAGGGGTTACAATTACAATTACATGAGCAAGGTAATGAGTACATTTCTTATCAAGCATTGTTGCCTCCTCCTTTGTTTTCCCCTACCATCCCTTCTCTCCCATCTCCACAACTACACTCCCCCCACTTTCCTTTTTTTTTTTTTACGAGTCCAATTTCCCTGACCTGTTAGTAACTTTAGGAGATTATAATAATTGAACATGTAGCAATGAAATCAGTGCCTTTGAAAAATTTAGGTATACACAAATTTGCTTATTATATATATTATTATATATATTTAAAAATTTTTGGACTTGGGATTGTTATTTCATGTTGCTTTACAGGAAACTGGTTATGCTTTCGGTCATTAACTTGGTCTTAATTTATACGGTAGAACCGACTGTTCATTTTCCACGTTTTACAAACCCCAATTCCTACCTACATGCAGAGGAGGATTAAGAGTTCAGAATATCTTCAGAAATAATCTATTAAATAAGAATAATTTATAATAGCAAAGTAAAGTTAGAAAGACAATTTCTCTGCCAAGCATGTGAGGGCATACCTGGTGACGAGCAGCAAAAAAAATAAGAAAGAGTGGGAAATGGGAAAACGGGTGGTAGGGGTCAAATTGTCCCTTTGATGTTTGTGTGCAGAGATTTATGTCAATGGCAGAAGTACACATTGGCAGAAGTAGAGTTAAGATAATCAGAAATGGTTTTGGAAGGCTGCAAACCTCAACTTCCCCTTACCCAGACCCATTTCCCTACTTCAAGAAGCAACCATTTAGAAGTTTTAGTGATCCTTTCACATTCCCACTTTTCACATCTGGAGGAGAGAAGATGGAAAAGGAGAAAGTAAAACAGCCCGTTAGCTTGAGCCCGTGCTCAAGTATCTGCTGTGTCCAGAAAGTGAGAGAGCCATTTAGGTAACCATGGAAATATTAGTGGCCCACGTCTTATTTTCTTCCTTTCTTGGCCATTAAAATCTTTTGCTCTGATTTCAGTAAGGCACCCCACTTCTGCTAGCTCCGCAGCTCCCCACTGTCCACGGGGACTCATTCAGGGAGCAAGAATACATATTTGAATCAATGCAGCATATTTAAGCCCCAGGGCCGGTGAAGACAGTCACCTCCTTACAGGGGTTAGGGGGTCAGTAATTCATCTGGCTTTGGGACCGAACTAGAACTACAAGTCCCAGGAGACTGCGCGGCGACGGCGCCCTTAAAAACTCTTCCCGAGTCTCCCGGAGAGCGGAAAATAAGGTTCCACGAGCGGCGCATTGCGCGGGTGGTTGCAAGAGACCGAGGCTGGAAGCCCGGCGGACTTGCAGGCGGGGGCGTCGGGTTCCGCCTCTTGGGAGCACTGAGGGGCGGGGAGGGAGGAGGGGGGCCGGGCCAGCGCCGGGGACCGAGCCGCGGAGACAGCGGGCCAAGGCGATGGAGGGCGACGGGCTGCTGTTGGGTGGCGAGCCCGTCTCGGGACCCGGCCCGGGCCCGGGGGGCGGCGGCGGTGGGGGCGGCGGAATGATCCGCGAGCTGTGCCGGGGCTTCGGTCGCTACCGCCGCTACCTGGGACGGCTGCGGCAGAACCTGCGGGAAACCCAAAAGTTCTTCCGCGACGTCAAGTGCTCCCACGACCACAGCTGTCCGCCCTCCCCCGCGGGCGGCGGCGGCGGCGGCGGCGGCGGGGCCGAGCCGGGCCCGGGCGGCGACGTCGCCGAACTCGAGCTGCAGGCGGGTAAGGAGGCCAGGCCGGAGGAGGAGCGGGAAAGTGGAGGGTGGGGCGCCCCGGTCCGACGGACCCCGGCTGGAGGCGGAAAGTGGGAACCGGGTCTAGAGGGGGCGAGGCCGTCCCGGGGTGGGGCTGGGGGCGGAGGGCGCCGAGGGCTCAGCTGCGGACCTGGAGGCCCGGGGTCCGCGGATGCCCAGGCCGGGGAGCCGGCCGCGCGTGGGCAGGGCCGGGCCGGGGAGGGCCCGAGCTTTGCGGAGTGGGGGAAAGTTGCTCTGAGTGCGGGGGGAGGGGGGCTGGGGGGGGCGCCAGTGGGGATCGGAGTCCCGGATCCGGGATGGAGGAGATGAAGCTGGCAGGGTGTCCACTGTAATGATGTGTGTAAGTGTGGGACATGCTTGCACACCGATGATGAAGCAGCTCAGTGAAGGAGGAGGAATGTTCTCTAAATAGCGTGGGGGAGTTGCCAAAGAAAATCATGATCTGATGGGTGCCAGGGAAATTAGTTGCCCAGAAATGTTGCTTCTGCTTATGGTGAAGGAAAGGAAGGGATGTTTTTCTTCTTGTTGTTCGTTGGGTTTTGTTTCTGTGGGGTTTGTTTGTGGTCCTGGGTGTCCTGAGAACTCGGTACTGTTGCCCGTTCTTGACATGGATCTTTTCTGCAATGAGCCAGCCATCCCCCAAATCCTGTATGATTTTCAGGCTTTTCTAACATCGTGCTTTCTTTCTAACTACTCTTGGTTGGGGGAACTGGAGGGTTTTATTCACAACTACTTATTAGGAATAAGGATGGGACTGGCACCCATATAGGTAAATATTTGGGGAACATTGTAGATGTGGGTTTCACTTAGGGAGTCTCAAGCTGAAGTTCTTATTAAAATCACCCAGGATCATATTTAAAAAAATGCCATGTCCCAGATTGCTCACAGATTCTGACTGAGTGTGATAAGTGATTTTAAGAATCTCATTTGAACATGAGAAGACTAGGGTTTTGATGCAGGTGCCCTGAAACACTTTTGAAAACATACATTTAGACATTGATAACTAATTTCAAACTTGTGGTGAGTTTGTACGTTGGACCCTGTATTCCCCAAAGTGTGTGTTGAGTGGTTTAAATTTGTCCGAGGCCCCTGAAATGGTAATAAAAATGAGCTCACAGGATGCTGAGGTCCATTCAGTTGCCCTGCATATCAACTAAGAAACTTTTCTTGTATCTTGGGATACAGGGCATTAGGGGGTTCACTAGCATTTTTGCAAGTGTGTTTAGACATGTACGGGGAATGTACATTCAGGAGATGAACTTGTAGAGGAAGCTGACTTCAGGGAGGTTGTGAGAAGACAGCTGGGAAGGGGAAAGGCGGGTGCTTAGAAAGGACCCCCAGGTCACACACTTTCACCCCTTAGCAGTACCTCCAGCCGCTTGCCTGCTCATCAGCTTCTCTTGAAAAGGCCTTTGCTGCTGCTGCTCTTATTTTAAAACAAGTATTTTAGTTACTCTTTTCAAAAAATTAGAATAAGTTTGCCTTATGGTTTGCTTTTGTTTTTATTTTTTAAAGGCTAGTTTAAGGAATGCAGTAAGTATCCCTCTGGGCTGGGCTCCAGTGGCTCATGTCTATAGCTACTTAGGAAGCAGCGATCAGTAGAATAGCCTTCTAGGCCTGCCCAAGCAATAAAGTTCTTGAGACCCCCATCTCGATCAATAACTGGGCATGGTATCTGCACCTGTCTTAGCTACACTGGAGGTTGAGATCAGAGTAAGGTTCCTGGCCAGCCTAACTGCAGGTTGATATCAGAGTGAACTTCCTGGCCAGCCTAGATAAAAAAAAGTCTGCTGGATCCCCATCTTAACAGAAAAAGCTGAGTGTGCTGATGTGGGCCTGTCAACCCAGCTGTATTCGGAAGCATAAATAGGAGGATTTTGGTCCAGGCTTGTTTGGGCAAAAAGTGAGACTTTATCTTAAGAATTACCAGGACAAAAAGGGCCAGAGGCACGGTTCAATTGGTAGGGCACCTTTCTGGTGAGTGGGAAACCCTGAATTCAAATCCTCATATTGCCCCAAAAGGAAAAACAGGGTTGCCTTTGAATTGGATTATGAGTTAATCTTTCTATAATCAACTTTTCACCCTCTAGTATCTATCCACCCCCCAAAATAACCCAGGAGGATGCGGATGACAGGATCGGGGACAAAGAGATTTTGTTTCATAAAATGCTTGGAGGAAAATTTATTTTGGGGAAAGAGGATATGCCAGGGAAAATAAGGTGACACTTTCTAGGTATACTTTAGAGATGCCCAAGACGAGAATGGTCCTGTTCTTTTCCCAGTTTATCTTTGTGAGGTCAGTCATTCAAACCCTGTCTCAACTCTTGTTTTGTGAATGTTTGTTTCTACTTAGTAGGAATTTGGAATGTGAAGGAAGTAGGCATTTCTTTCCTTCTTTCTTCTCCTTTTCTTTTTTTGCTAGTCTTGGGGACTGAACTTTAGACTTGGGCAATATTCCTGAGCTGCTTTTGTTCAAGGCTAGCACTCTACCACTTGAGCCACAGCACCACTTCCTGCCTTTTCTGTTTATGTGGTACTGAGGAATCGAATCCAGTGCTTCATGCATGCTAGGCAAGCACTCTACACCTGGAAGCAACTACTTCTTAATTTAATGATCTCTGCAAGATTTAGGATTGGAACTGTTTCTAGGTTTGATGCAGTACTTGAACAACTGAAGATCAGGAACTGACTCTACATTTGAAATTGTTGGACTGCAAGGACAGCAGCAATAGCAAAACAATTTTCCTATCTCTTTATATACTGTTTTCTGTCCTGTAATACCAAGAAGTTGCATTTCACTCTCAACCACAAAGAACTGGGAAGAACCCCAAACTAAAGCTTTCCTTTTAATTTGGATAGTTTTCTGTTTACTTGGGTTAGGGTAGAGATTGTATAATGTTCCTAATGTTTTAGAAGTTAAATAGAGGGCTGGGAAGGTGGCTCAGTGGTAGAATGCTTGCCTAGCATGCATCAAGCCCTGGGTTCGGTTCCTCAGTGCCACATAAATAGAAGAAGCTGGAAGTGGTGTTGTGGCTCAAGTGGTAGAGTGCTAGCCTTGAGCAAAAGAAGCTCAGGGACAGTGACTAGATCCAGAGTTCAGGCCCCAGGACTGGAAAAAGTTAAATAGAAGATGGAATTAAATTCTATAATGACAAAGTTTTGTGCGGCTTGAACTCTGGGCCAGGGCGCTGCCCCTCAGCTCTTCAGCTCAAGGCGAGCACTCTACCACTTGAACTACAGTGCCACTTCCGGTTTTCTGGTAGTTTATTGGAGATAGGAGTCTCATGATCTTTCCTGCCCAGGCTGGCTTTGAACTGAGATCCTCAGATCTCAGGCTCCTGAGGAGCTAGGATTATAGGCGTGAGCCACCAGCGCCCGGCAATGACAAAATTTTTAGAGTAGCTTGCCTTTTACAAAGAAAACTGAATTGTAAGTGAAATTTTCTTATTTGGTTCTTCCTCTGTTGTCCATTCATTGTCTGCCTTTTGACTTAACTGTAGAGAATAATCAACCTCTAGTTGGTGATTATTTTCTTTGTCATAGGTTCAGAAGTAACTTATTTATATTTATTTGTTCATTTATTTAATGAGCAGGAACTCAGCCCAGACTGGCCTGGACCTCATTCACTATGCAGCCCAAGCCATCTTCAATCTTTTTTTTTTTTGGGTCCGGTCGTGGGCCTGAACTCTAGTCCTGGGCGCTGTCCCTCAGCTCTTCAGCTCAAGGCCAGCGCTCTACCACTTGAGCCACAGTGTCACTTCCGGCTTTTTTTTTCCCTGCTTATGTGGTGCTGAGGAATTGAACCCAGGGCCTCAGGCATGCAAGGCAAGCACTCTACCACTGAGCCACCTTCCCAGCCTGCCATCTTCAATCTTGATCCCTCCTGCCCTGCCTCCCTAAGGGGACTTAGAGCGCATCTGAAAAAGGCAAAGTAGAATATTACAAAGCAGAAAAAGGAAAAGTACTTTTCTTTATGACCTAGTAGCAGTCCTAAGTATTACAGTTTGTCATAAACCTCTCAATTTTAAGAAGATGGAATGACTGAAAAGTGTCCAGTTGGAATGCTGTCACTTGGGCTATCCTCCATTCCTGTTCTACTTCCTAACTGAATGACCTTTGACAAGTCACAGCTTCACTGTGCTACACTTTCTCATCTGGAAAAGGGGACTATAATATTCGTTACGGCTAGGATTGTTGAGAACTAAGGTATGTACGTGTTTAGAACGATGCCTGATTAGATGCTATATAAGTATTAGGTATTATTTGTTTACTTGTTTCTCAAACAGCATCTCACTGTGTGCTAGGCTGGCCTTAAACTCCTGGACTTAAGTGATCCTCCTGCTGCCTCCTCCCAAATGTTGACTTATAGGCCAGGGAACCATGCCTGGCCACATATTAAATAGACATTAATTATTAAAAAGATGTTTGAATACCTAGGATTGTGTTGGTCACTGTGTTGTTCACGGGGATAAAGAGCCAAGTAAAGAAAGATAGTGATCTTGGCCTCAGGCTAGTGAAGGTCAGTCTTTCCCTTTTGTATGCTTTCTTCTCTTCCCTGCCATCGTTCCTCTCCCCTCTCCTCTTACCTTTCAAAATAGGTTCTCAAGATACAGTCCAGGCTGGCCTTGAACTCACAGTGTAGACCAGGCTGGCTCAAGCTTGAAATCCTGCTGCCTCAGCCTGCCAGTGCTGTGTTACTGTGCCCAGCCTACCCTTTGCTTATAAGAAAGAAAAAAGATAATTATCATCATTAAAGTTTGCTAATTTGGTTATATTGGATGATGGATAACAAAAAGGACTAGAAAACTGAACTTGGTCCTCTATGGAAGTATAATCTAAGTCCTACATATCTAGAATACAGAAAGCTGGAGGAAGAAAGAGAAAGCTAAGGTATGGCTAGATTATTGACATTTTAGGTGAATTTTAATTCTTTGGTTTTAAGAGCTCTCTACCTTTTGTTAGCCAACC